CAATGTCATATGAAGGAACCTTTCCCACGATCGGGTGCTTCTTAAACACCTCATTATAACCAGAAGGGATGATCCTCTCATCCCCTACAGAGATAAGCACGAACCGGGCTTTCCAACACTTGGAGGAAGTGGGCAGCCCCTTGAAATTACGCCTGCTGCGGCTGCAGATTAGCCACACCACCGCAATTCTTGTTCCCCCTCGGCTTAATTTATACAAATTCACGAATAATAACAGTGATGGCTCGATATCCAGGTCTTTACACCTCAACAAGAAGCTAGTGATCAGGACATAGGTGTTCGGCGACAATTGGGCTGGCCTCAAACCGGTGTACTCGAAATAGCTGATGAGGAAAGGGTGCACGGGAAAGCGCATACCCTTACTCCCTTAGAAAGCACCAAAGTACCCCTTCTGAAGGTTCAGAACACAGTCCGAGGCAAGCGGTTGTCGCATCGTAGCATGCAGCCCTAAAACATCTGGGCGAGCGTGACGTCGGCATCGGTGTTCTCGTTCCGAATAATTTTTTAGCAGGGAGCAATCCAGGAAGGAGTATCCTTTCGGTACTCCGACAGGCACAAGATGCCGGTACCTCATCTTTTTCTTCTAAGGAATTCCCACTGAGATAGGTGAGGGAGACCCCCCGTGACCTGACGTGGACACCCCAGCTTGCCCCGCAACATCACACTCCCTCAGAAACTCGGATTCATAAACAATTAGGGCGCACTCCTTAGATCCTACGTCATCCTCCTCTTCGACGTGAGAAGAATCATCCTAATCAACCTTGAAGTCGTCCTTAAAATGACTCAAAACCTTATGACTCAGCTCCACCTCGATGTTGTCCAGGCTTGAGGACAGACTCTCGGTATCTAGAGAGAGAAACTCCTTTAGCTGTTCTTCGCGATCCTTCAAACCTTCAAGGTCACTTCGTCATCCGTTTTTCAAGTTAACCTGCGTTTCTTAGACCTTAGATTAAGTGATCGTAGAAAACCCTAGTTTGATTCATAGCATGGGGTAGGTATTTATAGGCGCATCAACGGTGACCCCCCATTGGTAAGCAACACATGTCAACACGCCAGTTGTCGTTTGGTTCAATCGACGCAACCACCCACATTTCGCCATCCAGCGTGCGCCACGTGTTCGTATTTGTCTCCTCCCCACGACCAGTCACGTACAGATGATGGCGCACCGGAATCAACTTGTGTTATCAGTACACCACGACAAAAGGATCACCGCACTTGAGACACCAGAAGCAAGCATTCCTGAGTGGCACCTCCATACTCCTCACACTGACATCCATCTCAACATCAGGAGTGGGGGATTGGGGGACTACACCTCGGAAACAAATGAAAAACACAGAAGACACCCTTGACCTTAAAAACTAAAACACGCACCTCAATTTCGGCTTCTCGGTGAGGTTCTCTGGCCAGTGACCTTAGGGCAAGGATTCTCCCACATGGTTGCCTTGCTTAGGGTTCACCCAAGAGAAGGGATCCCACGCCACTTCCCATGTCATGGCACGGCACACAAGCACTATTCGGATCCAAAAGCAACGATGCATGGGTGCAACAACCTCTACATGAATAATACATAGGCGTCTCTGCTGCTTTTACTTTGGACCATGCACCCATAACGCCACTAATTAACAATAAAGGACATCGGAACCAATCATGGAGCAACTCTACTCCCTTACTTCGGTACCTTTCAGCTCAGGGAGTGGGGGACTCCTGATAGAGTATATGGGCTCGCACCTATAGCCCATATACTCTTGGACATATAGGCGGCCCAATGGTTGTGTCATAGATGTAAGGATCATTTGAAGAAGCCTGGTCCATAAACAGAGGAAGACTTTCGGATAATACCCCTCGGAGGAAGAGCACCTTGGCACAACCCTTAGGAAGGCCGAGGTGTTGTGCACCTCGATACCTTCCCTTCGCGCGGCTCTAAGAATTCCCTTAGTATATCGCTTATGCATGTAAATGGCCCGCTAGTGGCCATTAATGTAGTTGGGCCTCGCAGGCCCAAGTCATGTGAGCCGAACCCATATTCCCTCTATAAATACCCCCTTGAGATAGTTGTAGAGGAATCTGAAACCATTTATTGCAAGTTCTTTCTCTCTCTATACTTTAGCTCTCCCTTCTCTTTAAGCACTTCGGAGTAACCCGGAAGCTATCACTCGTATATGGAGGTGTGCACATCCATTCTATTTGATCATTGAACTTTGCAGTTAAGCAAAAAGGCCAAGAATGGGTGACCCATTGGGAGTACGAAACTATAGTTTATATTTTACTGATGCGGGAAATAGTTTAAATTTCAAAATCAGTATTACTTTATAAATAATTGAGCACGTTTTCTGTCCCAAAAACAATTTCAGATCGTTATTGTATATCCCAATTTCCAAAGTTATCTTCCCGTTTTCATAATAGCAAATGTCTCAATTATCCTTACCTTTTATTTGAGTTGTTATCACTAGTTTACACTTTGACCACTATGTGTTGAATCGAGGAGGTATGTATATCTTTGGTGTATGAGGAGTAGGTAAGTGTTTTTAACGACAATTGCACATTTTGTTAGGGCATGTAATCCAAGTAGGACCTCAAACTACGTACACGTGGTTTAACATATCCATGATGATCTGCTAGAGCCTAGAGCTCAATATCTACTAATAATACAAAATACTTTTTTGTTGGACAAACAATATCGCTATCTTGATGAAATTAAGTGATGATCTTATGCAACATGGCGTGTAATAGGCAATAACTATGCATCTCACTATCCAATTAAACAATTCTTTAACACGACAAAAAACTAATCATGATCGATTTTACAAATGCTTTCGCCCCCGACATGGCACACATTCGTTTACCATCACACGCATGTCCGCACTTGTAACATTATTACTTCGCTAACTTAGCTTTCCTTACGTTACTAATTAGAAGAGCTATGTATAGCTTTGCTGTGAAATCCTATGAGCTAAGGTTATACGGTTATGCCTAATAATGTATAGTCAAAGGATCAATTATTAATTTTCATATACTTTAGTTGACATAAATGGAAGGTTCAGGCTTCCTATAGGTAAGTGACTAAATCATTAATCATAAGTTATTATATGGGAAAGTTCCCGAAATGGGACTAAAAAAGTTTGAAAATTACAAAATATAATTGTCATGTTTTTATTCCCAAAATAGGACTAATTACTGTCAAATTTGGAAAATACTGTCATGTTTGAACACTACAAAAAAACAGCGTTATAGTCACGGATTTTAGTCACGGATTTGGTCTGTGACTAGTTTTGTCACGGACTAGTCACGAACTAGTCACGGACATTTAAAAAATAAATTAGTCACGGATCCGGCCGTGACTATGACCGTGACTAAACTTAGTCACGGTCAGATCCGTGACTAAAATGGTCCGATAGCTCCGATTCCGTTTCCGGCGGGGTTTGTTTTACACCGGCGACTTAGTCACGGACAAATCTGTGACTAAATCCGTGTCTACTAAAAAAATTTAATTTTCCAGCGCTCAGAAATTAATTCCCAACGGTAATCTGTACGGATAAATTTAGTCACGGACACATCCGTGACTAATTCCGTGACTAAATTTAATAAAATTATTCGCACGCGTACTTTACACGTTACTTACACGGTTTGGACGCGTAGTGTACACGGTTTTGCTTAGTGACGGACAAATCTGTGACTAAGTCCGTGACTAAATTTTTTATACATGCAGGAGCAGCTCATTCAACAGAACCACACCAATTCATTCCCGGTATATAATACAGTAGCTGTTTGAAAGATCGAAGGATGTAGTCTGTTTACACAGACAAGGTATGTTATTTAAATTATTACTTTTATTTAGAATTGGTTGGTTCAATTTAAATTATTAACACTATTAAATTAGTGAGGTTGTTAATTAATTAACAAAATATTTAACTACAAACGTAGTGATGTCATAAAATTAGTTAAATTTTTAGGTTTATAAAATAATTTAATTAAAATTAGTTAGCTAAACGTAGTTTTAAACGTAGTGATGTGGTAAGTAAAATTAGTTAGCTAAACGTAACTAATTGAATTTAGTCACGGTTGTAGTCACGGTTTTGACCCGAGGAGGCAACCGAGGAGGAACCCGACCCGAAGACCCCGTGGAGCCCGAAGCTGATGATGATGATGATGATAATGATGATGAATTTGATAATGAAAATCCTAATTTTTTTCATAATGGAGTCCGAAGGCCGGACATGTAATAGTACAGTTTTATCATTAACATTGAACATTATTTTTATAATTTCAGTTTGCAATGCATTTTTATTGTGTATGAGTGTATGATTTTTGTTTTTGTTATTTAATAGTATAATTGCTATACTTTTTGAAATATAATATTTTTCCTGATAAATTTTTTATTTTTATTTTTATTTTAAGAAAAATTAAAATAAGTTTTAATTTTTTTAAAAAAAAATGGATTTTTTTTTAAAAAAAAACAAAACATTTAGTCACGGATCTGAGCCGTGACTAAATTTTTAGTCCGGATTTCTTTTTATTAATTTAAAATTTAGTTTTTTTTAAAAAAAAGTTAGTCACGGATTCATGACCGTGACTAATATGAAATTTGAAAATTTTGAAAATTCGAACCGCGGGTTTTTGAAATTTCAAAATTCAAAAACGTAGTCACGGAACTTCCCGTGACTAAAATCGCCGAATTTTGTAAAAAAAAAAACTTAGTCACGGACACGTCCGTGACTAACAAAAAAATTAAAAAAAAAAGTAATCACAGATCCCAGCCGTGACTAAAGTGTCGGAGGAGTTATTCCGGTGACACTTTTTCTTGTCCCAAACTTAGGGCGGAGGTAGTATCTGCTTTAGACCGAAGTACATATGTGTGTAATTTGCTGTGAACAATCTGGGAATCGTATGATTCTCTAAATTAATGAAAGTGAGGTATTTTAAATTAGAAGTATTTTCCATATTTATTTACTCCATACTGTATAAAATTTGGAGAGGAAGTGCGTACAAAAAGAAGAATGAGGTTGACGGTTGACCCATCCATATTCGTTGAAATTCCGGCAACCTCGATTCAGTAGCCTATCCATTATACGAAGCCGCCCCAAAAAGCTTTGTCTTCCTCTGCAGTAACACAGACTCTTCTCTTTATGTTATTAAAGGATAATAACGCCACTCCTTTTCACCAGATACTTACTCTTTCAACAATGGAGGCTAAGGCTTTCAGCTTGCTCAAGTACTGGCGCGGCGGACGTGGACGCAGCATCTCTTTAGGAGACGGCGAATTCGCTGCTGCTTCCACCGTCGGTTCAACGACTGTTGATTGCTCCGCTCGTCAGCATTTCGCTGACTCGGACTCCGGCTCTGACGCGGAGGACGACGGACCCTTCTTCGACTTGCGATTCACCGCCGTTACGGAAGATGACGACGACGGAGAGAATGAGGATGCGTATGGTGATGTTCAGTTTTCCGAGACAGACGGAAGAAGCGGCTCCGGTGAACCAGATAGCGAGAGCGAAGGTGAGCTGAAGCTGGCCTTCTCACCATCCTCTGCCTCCAACGTTGACGGCGGAAACATTTCATTCTCTCCGCCGGACGGTATCGTATCGGCCACGGAAGTGAATTCGAAATTTCCGGTGTCTCTGTTGAAATCAGCCACCAAATTGAGAGTCCTAATGCTGAAATTGAATCGTCCGAAACAGAAGGATGAGAAATTAGGGCGAAATCCAAGGCAGAAAACTCAAATTCGAGGAGAGAGGATGTTTTTCAGGGTGAAATTGAAGGTTGAAGAAGTGAAGATTAGGTCACTGTTTAAGCGACACAGCAGTTCGAATTCGAACGCCCATGAATCAAGCTCAGGATCATCAGAGGAGAGAAAATCTTCGAAGGAAATGATTCGCAAATACTTGAAATTGGTAAGGAGTTCGGGGAACTTGAGCTTTTCCGGCGGCGCAACAACGGCAGGTGCATGTCATTTGCCGCCGCAGTCTACGGCGGAGGAAAATCTGGAAACAGAACCGACGGAGTGTTCTGAGAAGGCGGCAGTGCTGAGAAACGCCAGGAGTCAGAAGCGAGTGGTACCGCAAACCCTGGTGAAAAGCCGATCGGCGTCTTCGGCCGCGGCGGCTCCGGTGCCATCTAAGCGGCTGGACGACTCGTTGAAAGAGCAAAACGATGGTATTCAGGGCGCCATTTTACATTGCAAGAGATCTTTGAACGCTTAAATCTTAATTAGAAAGGTAACATCTCAAATGTGATTTGAGTTTGAAAATGAAAACCGTAAATCTGTTTATATTTATTGACAGTTCGCTAAATGTCTGGAAAATATTACCCAAACAGCTCAATAATACGTAGTATTTCGGATCACTCAAACGGAAATGAAGAATTGTTGGACACAATCTATTAACAAGTATAGAATTCCTTCATCCAAAAAAAAAAAGTATAGAATTCCTAAGGAATAATATTCCGTAATTGTTATCTCTGAACCGATTGAACACTTGAACTTGAGTTCACTTGGACGGTTAAAGGGAGTTGTAATTGGCATTTACAGGGATATTTTGCTCAGCATTGCTCAGGAAGGTGTTACATGTTGGAGTTGTTAGATCTAAACCCAGTGATATATTCCTTAATGGCACACTAAATCAATGGGCTAACTGACTTAAAAGTTTACCACTTGGCGATGTATGTAAATTGATTATAGAAGTAGTGTTTGGGTACATATAAATATTTGTTATAATAAAGTTGGGAAAAGAGCGGGTGGGATCGGTCCGGTCTGGGTCAGGTTTTTGCTAAACCCGGAAATTAGCCGGAGGGTCCCGGGTTTTGGAAATTAGGGAGCAGAACAAAGCCCATTATATTTGGTCCGAGTAGGGTTTTTGGTAGCCCGGGCTTGGTCCGGGTTCGGGTTGGGCCGGTTAAAGCCCGAACGTGAAATATCTCATTGTTCTTTAATATTTTAACACCTATTTTCAAATAAAATTAATCAAAAATACAAACCGCAAATAATAGCACATTTATTTGTCTCCAAAATCACCAACAATTCAAATCCAAAGAAGACAATTATCTTAATATTTTATTTAAGATGCATATAAATATGTAATATAGGTTTCTTAAAATATTACGAAATAAAATTTATAGATAAAAATGTGACTACAGTTGCTATAAATAAATATATTTTCATGGTAATTACGCTAAACAAATTGAACATATATGTAGTCATTAAAAGTTACTACATTTTTTATCCACCGTGATATAATCATATACTTCGTATTAGGAAATATTTATAAATTTATATTCATATATTATATTAACTTTATAGTAAAGCTAATTGTTTCGGGTTTTATCAGTCCGGTCCGGGTTATAGATTTTAAGGTCCGTTAATGAGCCCAGAATTTCGGGTTCGGTCCGGGTTTTTTTTTTTAATTCGAGCTGGTTAAAAAGAAAAAACCCGGACCGGGATCATAATTCGGGTCAGTTTTCGGGTTTCGGTTCGGTTTTTCCCACCCCTAGAAAAGACGCAAATAAGCCCTCGAACTAACCAAAAAAATGCAAATCACCCCTTATATAAGAGGCTTTGTCCGGCCGTCATCATTTGGGGAGGTTCCCGGAAAAGTATTTTGATGAAATTGTTTGAGCATCTTCTTCATTAAGTCTAGTTTACCCATACCAAATTTCAGATAAAAATTCAATCGGGAAGGCAGTCAAATGAATTTTTGTAGATAACAACGCACTTAAACAACGCAATATATTTCAGAAAATCGTTAGACTGCCTTACCGGTTTTATTTTTAGCTGAAATTTGGTGTGGCTAAACTAGACATAATGAAAAAGATGCTCAAAACATTTCATCAAAAAATTTCACCGGGAACCGCCCCAAATGACGACGGCTGGACAGAACGTCTTATATAAGGGGTGATTTGCACTTTTTTATTCGTTCGAGGGTTTATTTGTCCTTTTTCCCTAATAAAGTTTGACAGAATATTAAAAGAAAAGTAAAAGAGAAAGGATAGTATATAGAAAAAGTATGAGAGACCCAGTGAAACATTGTAGTCCGTACAAGACATGATTAAAACTACTCCATAAACTGTTAAACTAATTGAGTATTTTAGGAAGTGTAGTAAAAATTAAAGTACATCCTAGCTAAAACATACTCGGTAGCATTCTTGTGATTTATAAAATCATGATTGTGTGTTTGATTTTCCTTAAATAGGATTAAACATTATATTTTTTATCCTTAATTAAATTAATATAATTAATTAATTGTCGCTAGTCCCCTTACATAATCAAGGTTAGTTCGTTGGTGGCGGCGGCGAATTGTGGCAATGGTGGCGCTATTCAATCAGATCGGCGGCAACGACTTGGGGGGATTTCAGTAACCAGTGGCAGTCTGAATTTAAAAGTCTATAGAGTTTTTTAAAAAAAATTATGAACTTATCCATCAACTTATGCAATGTATAATTACGTATATATGACTAAAATAAAAGTTGTTTACAAAAATGTGACATTTAAATATAGTGATTATAATAATAACTTTAGTCAACTAACTTTTACACTTACGTGGCTATGAGACTATACTATAATAACTTTTAATTATACTTTTGTAAATAAAAGTCTGTTTGGTAGCACGAAAATCGGTTGATTTGGCTGATTCTGCTGAAACTTATGAAGTTTTGGTTGAAGTGACTGCATTAGCTGATTTTGCTGATTTAAGAAAAAATATTTTTAAAATATATTTTATTAATAAAATAAATAAAATTATGTAAAAATAGCTAAAATGATCATCTACAGTAACTTCAGCCAATACAGCCAGAAAAGTAACTTCAACCTTACTTTTTTTGCTTATTACACAATTCAACGCGCGAAAGTAAAAATTACGTGTTTGGTGAAAAAGTTGGCTGATAAGTCTGATAAGCCAAAAAACAGTGTTGCCAAACGGACTCTAAGTTTCATTTCGGTAATATTTTTGAAAAAAAATCTCCTTGTACAAATTAACATAACTCATTTATAAAAATCTATGAAGACTTCTTTAAGAGTCAATGGATTAAAAAAGTATCACAATTTATACACAGTACACCGCGAGTTTAATCGGGTTCCCAATTATTCATTTACAGACTATATTTGTAGCTTACACTTTTACAAAAAATAAAATAAAAATAAGCTAGAACAATATGTTCGGGTCCAATTTTGGGAGAATCAAAATACATTTAGATCGTCTTTGCTCTGGAACAGTGGAACCTCTTTATTGCCAAGAATGTGATTGAATTCAACCTCTTTTAACTCACTATTAACATATTGATCGAGATGTGCCTAGCCTACAGAAAAGGTCCCATACTCCCATCTTTTTTACTCCGTATAAAGTTATTATCACTAGACACCGGTTCCAGAAACAAAGAAATGACACCGTTTCTTTGACATTCATCTGAACCAAGGAAATGACACATTTTCCATGTATAAAAATGACACGTGGAGGTCACGAAAAAAGTACTGTCTTAACATTTTTTTAAATGTTACTAATTGTAATTTAAAAAACACAACATTTTGATTTTGATGTAAAATAATACTCCGTACAAAATTGGAACGTTGCTCTTAATAGAATAATTAAGTATCGGCATTTATCAATAACTAAAATAAATCATTATTCGCCTTTTTTTGGAATAAGACGACTTAAATTGATAATAAAACATTCAGCAAGAGATAAAAGAGATGAAAAAAGCTTCCAACCACCGAACCTCGAACTAGTTTGAGAAGTGAGAACCAATCACCCTATAAAGAGCAATATGATTCGATGATCCTGTATTGGGTCTAAATGAGCCTAGCATGCTCAGAGCAAAACCCTTATCACCCCACCTAATGTAAAAGTCTGACAGAAAAAAAACAACACTAATAGAAACAATCATGGTCTGATCGAAAAAAAAGACAATAATTATTATTGGCCTTGATAAATTAATTAGAGGTGGTTACGTTGGTCTTTAGAATTGAAAATTCTTTGTAAGTAAAACTTACGTCCATATGCATGGTTAAGGTATATTTTATCTCCCTAAGTATGATCACCATCGTAATATTTCTTTTTTATGATCTTCATTATATTTCTTTATCATAATTGGTCCTGGTATTTAGGGTACAGTATGTTGAGGGCACAATAAAAATTGACATTTTTATGCGCAATTAAAACACCCTATCCCAACCTTTTGATTTGGAGATAAAGTGTAATATAAAAGCTAACATATATAAGAGGATACACGAAATTACAGTCCATATATAATTGAGGCCTAGTTAGTGTTGCAAGCATGCATTAAATGAAAACTTAGTTTAGCCTGAATACAACGTACTTTAGCTTTATGAATGTGCAGCTTAAAGAATTCCGTGTTTAGCGGTCAAAAGATGGGTAGTGCCAAAAGCCCTTCTTTTCTTTTCTTATCTTTTCTCGGGTCTCATACTGAGTTTTTCAGTTTTTGCTTTAATGTGTTTGGAATTCGAGCTCATTCTATTGCAAATACAGTCTGATTTTCTTCTCACAAATTTAATTGATAAAAAAGTTAATGTTCAATAGAAATGACTTTATACATAATGTAATGTTTGTGTGCCAAATATGGACTGAAAATATGCAAGTATGATATACTTTTGTGTATGAGTAATTGAGTATATTATTCATTGATACAAAGCTACTTGTTTGATATAAACGATATGATAAATAATGTAAACTGCGAATGAAAATATACAAGTCTATTGTGTTTTTATGTAACTTATAGAACACAATGAACATTGTTGAATTTCAAGTATAAATCACATGTAATGAAAAGTATAAGGTAGAGCTTGAAGAACAGTTACACACGTATCAACTAAAACTGCAATTTTTTTTGTTTTAGATTATTAAAGCTTTGGTTGTGAATTGGTAGAGAAAAAACCTAGATTATTTCACAATTTCAATTGAAAATGAAGATGGACAAAATCGTCGTTATATGAATTACTGAACTCAGACTATAAAAAACCCCACTTGAACCAAATATACAATGGACCTTCTTCCCGTATCGAAGTTTCATAACTTGAGGTCTTACGGGTAATTTCTGTGCATTGCAAAATCATGTGCCATATCGAACCAATTCCACCCCTAGATGTAGATTAGAGACACTTACTGTTATAAGCACATGACATAATATTAGATTAGATGAGTTTCTTGTCTTTAGTATCTGTTTCCGTTACAAGTATGTCAGGGGCGGATCCAGGAATTCGGGATGTCTTGGGCTGAATAGCAATTATAATTGACTTAAATATTTACGGGATGGACTAAATGTGAAAAATGAAAAAAAAATCGCTAAAAAGATTGAAATTTTTTTAAGTTGCACTAGACTTCGGCTCACCATAGTTCACCATAGTTAAGTGATGAAGATAAGGAC